CGAAATATTTTTCCCACAAGTTACTTATTAATTACAAAGGAAAAGTGTAACTTTACAGTTACTGGCCAGGCACCACCTTAAGCACATGATCCAAGTTAACATCCCAGGACCAAGAGACAGTGACATCATGTTTCTCCTGATGTGCTGTCCTGTGAAAGACATATCACTTCAATGGCATTCTGGTCAACAAAGTAGAACTGGAGTCTAATCTGGATAAAACACCAGAAAACCCAAATTGAGGAGCATTCTCCAAAATAGTGTGGGTACTCTTTTAAAAAGTCAAGGTCAAGAATGACTGAGGAAATGTTCCAGAGTAAGAGTGACTAAAGAGGCACAAGAATAAATGCCATGTGGGATCCTGGGTTGAATCCTGGCCGGGCTGGAGAAAGAAGCTCCAAAAGACATCATTGAGACCACCGACACATTCTGAATATGGACTATGGATTTTTTATTCTAATACTGTGTCTATGTGTTAAGTTTCCAGATTTTTATATTTATATTTTGCTTATGTAAAAGACTGCCCTTGTTCTTAGAAAAAAAATACTGAAATAGTCAGGGGAAAAGCACACAACGTCTCCAACTTATTCTCAAATGGTACAGAAAATGAGAGAGTAAGCATTGGTTCTTGGAGGGCAAAAAATTCTTAGTACAATGGTATAAACAGATATACAGTTAATCTGAGTTCTTAAATTTTCATGGGGGTACATGATTAGAAAAAAAATGCCTAAAATGTCTCCTTGAGGGAGTGATAATGAAAAAAGAAAAAGGGAGAGAGAGAGAGCATTGGGTGGGGAGAGAGAGAAAAAGCAAATGTGGATCAGTGTAAAGGAAAGATAAAAAAGACTCCCTTCCTCTTAGGTTTAAGAATCTTCAGATTAAAAAGTTACAAGAAAAAATATTTATATTTAGAAACAGAGCATCAACAAAAAAGTAGGAATAACACGCTGGCCCAAGGAAAGATCTACATAGCTATGCAAATGATTTTCATCATTTTTACTCTATTATAACACACTGCATATGTGTCATTCATTTATGCCCTCTGTCCCATGTGGTTGTGTGACATCTTATGTACGGTGATCTTGTCTTCTCACTGCTTGGAGACAATAGTGGCTCAATAAGGCCATCTACTTTTTTTTTTTTTAAGATTTTATTTATTTATTTTGACAGAGAGAGACACAGTGAGAGAGGGAACACAAGCAGGGGGAGTGGGAGAGGGAGAAGCAGGCTTCCCGCCGAGCAGGGAGCCCGACGCAGGACTCGATCCCAGGACCCTGGGATCATGACCTGAGCCGAAGGCAGACGCTTAACAACTGAGTCACCCAGGTGCCCCAGGCCATCTCCTTTTTAAGGAAAGGATTTTATATGGAAGAAGGTGACGTGCTTCATGAAGGAGAGAACAAAATAAAGGTTGCAACAATAGCAGGTAGGATCCAGGTTAGAATGCAAAAAAATACTTTGAGAATAAAATAGTTGGAATGTAAGTTACTGAGTTGGTTGTGGAATATTCTCTCACGGAGACCTTGAATATATTAAGGATATTTAAGAATATTATCAGGCACATATCTATAGAAAGGTGGTTCAGGGGCGTCTTAGTCCATTAGAGCTGCTATAACAAAACAGTGTAGACTGGGTGGCTTATGAACAACAGAAATTTCTTTCTCACAGTTCTGGGGGCTGAAAAGTGCAAGATCAAGGTGCAGGCAGATTCACTGTCTAGAGACAGCCTGCCTTCAATTAATGGCCGTGTCTACTTGTGGTGTCCTCACATGGTGGAAGAGACAAGCTAGCTTGTGGGGTCTCTTATAAAGGAGCCAATCCCACCCATGAAGGCTCCACCCTCATAACCTAATCACCCCCAAAGGCCCCACCTCCCAACAACATCACTTTGGGAGTCAGAATTTCAACATATGAATTGGGGTGGAGGACGCAGGCATTCAGGCCATAGCAAAGGGCAAGGAGTTGGGTTAGAAGAGTCTTTCACTCATTTGTTGATGCCCAGTGGGCGAGGCAGTTTGTTGGCCCAAAACCAAGCAAGACACGGATTTTAAAAAGTCAAGGTCAAGAATGACTGAGGAAATGTTCCAGAGTAAGAGTGACTAAAGAGGCACAAGAATAAATGCCATGTGGGATCCTGGGTTGAATCCTGGCCGGGCTGGAGAAAGCAGCTCCAAAAGACATCATTGCCTTCAGTGAACTTGCCAACTAACGAAAAGGTTATTTTAGGATTCGTCTCCCAGTATAATAGTATCCTGTCATCTTATATCACATGTCCAGTCTTTACAACTTTTCCCTACCAGGCTGCTGTCATCGTCATAGAAACACCTGCTTTTCCATCCTGCTCCTGCTGTCGCTGCCCAGCTACCTTGGCAAACCATTTTCTAACCACCGGGGACAGCACCGCACCACAACACATAGGAAGTTTGCATTCTTCCAGCACCCAGGTATGCTGAGATGGTGAACGGCTCCCCCACCCCCAGCCCCGGGCCACGCAACGGTCGTATTGCTAGGATCACCTGACGACCTGCCCAAAGGCCCAAAGTGCAAAACTGACTCTTGCCACCATTTCCTGGCCATTGGATTCCCTCACTTGATTAATTAACTTAAAATTGCCTCTTGATGGCAAGCCAGACTTCTGTTTCCAATTTCCTCCTGTGTTGGAAAGTAAATAGGCCTAACCACATTTTCGAGTCCTTGTGCATGGGTCTTTTGTGCTTATAACAAACCAGGATCCACTGGAAGGCATCTGGGCCACTGCCAAGGTAGGTATTTGATTTCTTTGTTGTCTTTCTGTATAACCTAGCTAACCACAACCCCTTTCCACCATTCCTCAGCAATGTGCTTTAACTAGAGCCAAGAGCCCATCCTACAAAATGAATAAGATAAAAAAAAAAAAAAAAAGGAGGAAATAAATAAAGAAGAGGCCATGGAAAAAATTAGGGTTTGTGAATATTACCCCATACATCACATCTTCTTTTTACATTTTTCTTTCATGACTTCACAAAAACATCTAGACTCAATGCATAGTCATATAGAGGAATAACTCCCAGGGTTTCCCATTCTTTCCTCCACACCCAAGAAGATTGTAGGATTATAAACATGAGGTAAATTCCTGGGATCCTATTCCTTGGGGCATATCCCTGAGTTTTGACGTTGGGGTTGGGAAGTAGGGGGGGTGGGGTGGCAAATGCCTATGAGGTTTGAATGACTGCCCAAAGAGAAGCAGATGGCATTAGCAGGCCTGTGCCCAACACATGATTTGTTTATCTCCATGCCACTCACTTTCTCCCACACCCTAGAAAAAAGAATTAAGAATGAGTCTCTGCTCCTTCAAGAAGTGAATTTTCCAGGACAAGTCTTCCCATATGGAGAGGATAATGGCACCAGGCCAGAGAGTGCAAGATGAAGAAGGGCTCAGGCTGTTTCACATTTTCTCTGTCAATGGGTTTCAAGTGTTCTGGTGGACACTCTCTTCATTCTCCTCCCCATAAACTCTCAACTCTACTCACCACTACAGATATTAATGCATTCTCTTCAAATCCCCAAATAGTGAGAATAGCATGAACATAGATCAGCACAAAGGCAAAAAATATGGGGCATGTGCTGGGAAGAGCAAGTAGTTCAAATAGAGAAACAAGACATGAGGGCTGGTATTAGCAAGTGAGAATGGCCGGGAGCGTGGGGTCAGATATATAGGCCATGAGCATCAGGCCAAAGGGTTTAAACTTTATTTGGTAATTGGAAAAGATTAACTATTACAAGATAAAACTGCAAAATTAACCAGTTTAGAAGCCAGTGCCACATCAAGAAAAGAGAGACAGCCAAACATGAGAATTAGTAGAATAAGAATGCTTCACCTCAGGGATGGATTCCTGTGGCCAAACATCAGGAGCCAGGCATAAAGGACAAATGAGAAGCCTGTATGAATCTTTATCTGATAGAAAGACACTCATTAGTTCTTAGAAAGAGAGCAAACATTCTAGGAGAAATCATGCGAACTGTTACATGCCATTAGGTATCGCAATGGGAAAAATCTTCAACATTTTTAGTCACAAACACAAATGCACAGTCACGAGGCCGCACGGTTCTTTCTTGTACGTTTAATGCACCCTCAGAACAGTAAAGCGTAATTTAAAGAAGATAGCTCTGTTGGGGGCTCGGCTAATATGACTCACATCTGATTTCTGATCTTTCCCGATCATCAGGCAATGATTAACCTGATATACCTGGGAAAATACACGAATAACACATCTTTCAGACTCTTTCTATCTAACACCACTTTTGTTAGCTATTCGTTAAGGAAAACGGATATAGTGTCTCCCTGGTGAGGACTCCAAATTGGGTAATAGACATTATTGATTCAGGGAACATCCCTGGTTTTAGATAGGGTGCCCATACATAAACTAGGTTCTCTCCCGGTTTATGCATGCTACGCTATTATAATTATATGTACCTCTTCCTTTCACTCTCAAAGCTACCCCAGTTTAGGTGATAAATTATGTGGTCAACCCTTGATTTAAATATCCAATGAGGAGAAGGTAGGTTGCCACATAATTCTGTAAGTTCAGAAGCGAAATTATCTTCTAACTTGGAATGCAAGTCACCTTCACAAGCAATTTCTAATTTGATGGCTATTAAAGGATTTGCTGAGACCGAAATTCATCAGATCATGTCCGTGAGCCCAGGGCTAGGACTTACGGGACTCTGTGTCCTCATCCTCTAGCATAGCCCCATCACATCACAAGCATTTAATGAATGAATTAGTTGCTTATCGATAGACATGACACGTGACATAACTCTCCCTTCTTGGAGAACTACTGAAACGACCACCACATAATATAAACTATTACATACATTTACGATTTAGATGCTCTCCTTCTTTCTTTCCCAATTTCTGCCGAAAAAAATATTAAGTACTGTACATCCAATTTATAACCTCTCTTCTAGCACACCTACTGGTGTCTACCAAAGACATTCATCCTCCAGAATTCAGTCCAACTCACCAAACTTAGAAGTTAAGCCTCCAGGATGTCGCAGTGAACCCACTGAGAGTGTTATTTCCCACAGAGCCAAAGCCATCTATTTTTCATTCTGCCAAACCAGCCAATATTTCCAACATGAAATATCCATAATGCAGGAAATTCCAGTCTTAGGACTCAGACATGAATAGCCCCAGCAATTATTGTTAAATAGCATGTGTCAAGTAGTTTTTTTTTTTCCCCTGTTGGAGGTAAACAGTACGGCATGTACGTTGTGGCTCACAGAGGCAATGGAACTCTACTATGTTATTAGATCCTGAAAGTAAAGAGAAAATCTAAAAACAGTCCATTTAAAAGGATTATTTTTAACTCTGATTTTGCATACAATTTAGAATCATATGAATAATTACTGTGCTCATACTTCAGGAATTATTTTTTTTTAAGATTTTATTTATTTATTTGACAGAGAGAGACACACAGTGAGAAAGGGAACACAAGCAGGGGGAGTTGGAGAGAGAAGCAGGCTTCCCATGGAACAGGGAGCCCAATGCGGGGCTCGATCCCAGGACTCTGAGATCATGACCTGAGCCGAAGGCAGACACTTAACAACTGAGCCACCCAGGCGCCCCATACTTCAGGAATTATTGAAGAAAGTTTGTAAACTACCTCTTTTGGGCAAATTGCTTAAGAAGGGCTCAAATCAATTAAGTTTAATATTTGGGACACTTTTAGAGAAATAAGTAAATATCACTCTGTGTTATCTTGAAACAATCAGAATCATCCACATGATTTCTATCCTTATCTATCCACCAGGGCACTTTCAAGCCTAAGGTTATCAGAATCATCCACATGATTTCTATCCTTATCTATCCACCAGGGCACTTTCAAGCCTGTGAAAATGCAACTATACTCCAAGTAGCCAATGACATTATCAATGAAAACAGAATTATCGTGCAAGTAACCAATAATACCATGTTAAAATTTCCTTGGTTAGAGACAAGTCATTCTGAGTTAAAGAGGAAAATTTTTGGTAAAGCAAAAGAAGAAAAACTCCTTTGAAAAGTGTCTCATTCATCTTTTTTGCCCTTAATGCCTTGTATATAGTAAATGCTAAACATATGTTACACTGAACTTAAATTGGGTCTTTCTTGCTTTGGCCAGACAGAGAGAGAGAGAGAAGTGGGGGGAGAGAATATGCTTTGTTTAGTGTCTGCCTGCCTGCTTTGCTTCATCACCATTTAAGAGCCTCTTCTATTAAAGATGACTTTTCTATTGACTTTAGAGCCCACAGTAAATGAAAGGATTTTTTAAAGCACTTTCTTTTTAATAGCTTTTATAGTAAACATGACAGCTCTTTGGTGGGTTTGTCTTCTGTTTTTCCAATAGAGATAGGTTTTGCTAGTTGGGTTTGGGATAGGTAGAATAACCATGCACACCTCTTTTTCTCCTAGGAAATATTCATTGAAAGCCTAACATTTCATGGCACTATATTAAGTTTAGTGGGAGTTTAGTGAAAGATACACAAACAAGAAATAGGCCACACCCTAAATTGTATGGGAAGTGATTGACATGTCCATACATACCTAAAGTGTGCCAATCATATTTTACCAATTAAGAAGGATATTTAAAAGAAAACTAGGAAAATTCAAAATAAGAAATGATTCATTCCAATGAGGGATATTGAGAGAGACCTACAGAAGTGTAACTTTTGCAGTTAGCTCTTGAAAATTGACTTGAACTTTTACTGGAATTTCAAGAGGATTTCAAGCACCACATGCAAAGCAGAGGAATACAACTGCTTGTTGAATATTTAATGGTATTTCCTTGGTAATTATATGTGAGTGGTGAAGAAAAGTGAAACATTAAAAAAGCTAAGATTTCTAGTTTGGGCAAATAGGTGTGAAATGGCGAAATGATGATTTGTCTTTTGCACAGTCAGTTGAAGTTATCTGTGGGATGGCCGGATGGAAGCATTAAGTAGGCAATTAGAAACATGGGCCTAAAGAAATAAAAGAAATATAGAGTGGTAAAGACTTGGAATTAGTTCAAGTATGGGATCCAATGAGATGATTCATGGAAAACTATAAAATCTCACATTCTGCCCACATTTAATGGCTGAGGGTAGGGTGTGGGAGAGAGGTGAGGGAAAAGAGACAGACAGAAAGATAGGAAGAGCGCCAGGGAAGTTAACTATCATCGAAACCAAGGGAGAAATGAGTATCTTTAATGAGCTGATCTTGGCCAAATTACCAAATGTTGCAGAAATTGAATTAAAAAAGATACATATGATTCAATGTTATTAATGGGGTACTGAACTAAACTTTATAATTGGTCCTAATATAATGAAGGCCTATTTGTTGTTATTCTAATTAGCCAGAAAGAAATAGCATAAACATAAGTATTCTCATTAGACTCACCAATATTATTTTGATATCTTTTCAGTCCTAATGATTATCTCACCCTATCTTCATTTAGGTCAAAAGCTGATGTGTAAATTGGTGAAAATCCTTCCCAATATTAGGGATTTTTTTCTTCTTGCTATAACTGTAGGCCTGAACTTTTTATAGCTCTGCCATAAATGGAAATGAACTCCAAGTGTAGCAGTCTTTGGAGATTGAGAGTAGACACTCATTTTGGAGTAAGTCTATCCTGAGTTGTTAAGTCATAAATTGAGAAGATTGGTACATCTAATCTCTGAGTGGCTTGGTCATCTTTCAGATGATGTTGCTAATCTCTTCTTCTTCCTTGACTGTAATAAATTTTCATATTTGGAATATTATGTAGATGTTGGGATTTCACTCTTTAATTGATTAAATATGAAAAAATTGGAAAGCCTACGTTCAACTGGAATTTATATGACCTAGAGCTGCTATATGATGAGATGAGACAGTATAGCAGAGGGAGGATACTTTTCTAAGTTTGTTTGCCATTTATCTTTCAGTGTCTTCCTTAACTGTATTATTTATGTGCATTTTAGGGTTTGTGGTCTGGATCTCAAAAACAATTTTAATAGTCCTTTAACAATTAAATTGTGAAAGAATTCATGGAAAACAAATTTTTGCACAATCCTGTCAGCATCTAGAGGAAATATTTTGTTTCCCTAACTTTCTGCAACCTATGAAGTTGTCCAAGAGGAGAGGAAAGAACAGTTGGGACTTGAATAGGAACTTCTGTTGAACTGACTGTGCGCTTGAATTCTTCCTGGTTAAATTCATGGTATTACCTCTTCTGGTACAAGCAGGTCTTGGGTGCTATGAATAGGTTCCATTAACTATTGGAATCATTTATCCCCCTCTATTTCATCTTATGTTTTTTGACAACTGAATTATTTAAACTTTTTTTTCAAAATAGAGTTAACTTTTTGGTTTTTACTTTTAACTTGATTATATTGTAGTGAGAACATGTGGTCTGATAACATTGACTTTTGGAATTTTTTGAGACTTGCTTTGTGACCTAGAATGTATTTGAGCTTTATAAGTGTTTCATGTCTACTTGAAGAGCGTATCTATTTTCTAATTGTTGGAGGCCATATGTTCTAAAAAGCTAGATTCATCTTTTTAATTACGTGGCTTAATTCTTTTCTATCCTTACTATAATAGTGAGGGCAGGTTAGGTTGTAACAAAGTGCCTCACAGTTAGTTTACTTCTGGCTCATGTTCACATCATCTTTACTGAGGGATCAGGCTGACAGAGGATCCAACTCTGTGCTTCCATGATTGCCACAGTGGGACAAAGAACTTCTGCAGTGTCTCACGCTAGCCTGGAAACAATACACATTAAATTCTGACCACACTGCATTGGTCAAAGCAAGTCAAATGACCAAAAAAGCCACACCTAATCTCAAGGAGTCAGGAAAATGTATTCCTATAATGTACTATGAAGGGGGAGACCCAAAAGTTTGGTGAGCAACACTAATGACTACCACACTTTCTGATTTATTTTGTCTGCTTTATTGATTACTGAAAAAAAAAGGGGGGGGATTAAATCTCCCATTATAATGACAGACCCATAAATATATCCCTTATATTTTGACAGTTTTTTCTTTATATAGTCTAAAGCTATGTTCTGAGGTGGCTATGTTAGAATTCTAATATGCTTTCAAGAGAATTATGTAGGGATCATCTTGCCTTTTTTTTTTTTTTTAAGATTTATTTGTTTGAGGGGTGCCTGGGTGGCTCAGTCTTTAAGCGTCTGCCTTCGGCTCAGGTCATGATCCCAACATCCTGGGATCGAGCCCCTCATCGGGCTCCCTGCTCGGCGGGAAGCCTGCTTCTCCCTCTCCCACTCCCCCTGCTTGTGTTCCCTCTCTCGCTGTGTCTCTCTATGTCAAATAAATAAATAAAATATTTTTAAAAAAATTTGTTTGAGAGAGAGAGAGCAAGCTCATGAGTGTGCAAGCATTGAGGGGAGGGGCAGAGGGAAAGAGAGTCTTACGCAGACTCCACACTGGGCACAGAGCCCCTGCAGTGCTCCACCCCAGGACCCTGAGATCATGACCTGAGCTGAAACCAAGAGTCCTAGACTTAACCGAATGAGCCACCCAGATGCCCCTCATCTTTGCCTTTCAAAATGTTCTTGTCTTAAATCCCATGTTCTTTGTTATTAATATTCACTCTTTGGAGAGCTTAGTAGTTGCCTGGTATAGTTTCCCTCTTTTTATTTTCAACATTTTAATTTTTTTGTCTTAGGTATGTCTCTTATTAAAAAGTAAATTAAAAAAATAAAATATAGCTGAATTGTTTTATTGTCCTAAAAACCTCTGCCTGAATTTCAAAAGATTTTCCTTTCTTTCTTTCTCCCCTCTCTTCTTTTCTTTTTCCCTTCCTCCTCCCTCCCTCCTTCCCTTTCTTCCTTCCTATCTTTTTCTTCTTTGTCACTTTTTAGATTGAGACTTTTTTTCTCCAAAACTTCTTGTGTTTTTTTTTTACAAGTTTGGAAGTTATATAGTATCTTAATCTTTTAGGGTTTATTTATTTTAACATGCACATATGTTAACAAATATGAATTTAATCAATCTCTTTACCCTACTCTTGAATAAGGATCTCAAAATCTTACTAATCAAAGTTTGATTCAATTACCAGTGAAATCGAAACATCTGGGAACTTGGAAAAAATGGAAAATTTCTGCCCCTACCCACTGATTTAAGAGCTGGGTTTTACCAAGATCCCCCAGTGACTAA